ATCTATCTATCATCCACTATCTATCCATCCATCACCTATCTATCCATCTATCCATCTATCCATCTATCCCATCTATCCATCTATCCATCTATCCATCTATCCATCTATCCATCTATCCTATATCTATATATCCATCTATCCAATCCATCTATCTCATCAATATTATATCCATCTATCCATCAACTATCCATCATCTATCCATCCATCTATCCATCTATCCATCTATCCATCCATCCACCTATCTATCCATCTATCCATCTATCCATCTATCCATCTATCCATCTATCTATCCATCCTTCTATCCATCTTTCTTTGATTTTCCATCAACTCAGAAGAACCATGTCTTAAATTCCACTACAAATATGCATTCGTCTCTCTCCATGTCCTCCAGCCACAGCATTAGAAGGTCAACTTCTCTAATGCTCCACATTTTTGAAAACTAATATGTAAAGCTAAAAGTCAGCCGACTCCAAACCAACCTCGCCTGCAGGATTCTACTCTCTATTTCTTTCAAACTCTAGCTTTCAAACTCTGACCCACAACCCACGCTTTACTCACACTTTTGGATTATGACTACTGTTTCTGTTTTTTGGTTTTCTTTGTACTGTTTCTGATTTTATGCAAAGTGTCTTTGAGCACTATAGGAAAAGCGCTATAAAAATGTAATGTATTATTATAAAATATTTTATTTTACTATATTATTTTCTTAAAATAGTTCTCTATTTTTTTTAACTTGTATGTTTTATGTCTGCACCATGACAACAAGTCAAATTCCTCGTACGTGTCAACCTACCTGGTAATAAATCTGTTTCTTCTTATTATTATACCATTTACAAACACTGAACACCAGCCTCCTCGTGTTTGATAAATAAATCAGAGGTCACAGCATTAGAAGGTCAACTATTCTAATGCTCCACATTTTTGAAAACCAATAAGTAAGGCTAAAAGTCAGCCGACACCAAACCAACCTCGCCTGCAGGATTCTACTCTCTATTAGTGGAAAGCTGTGCCACAGTCTTCTTCTTCTTATTTCAACCAATATTTTGGCTCTCAATAACTTCAGCATACTTTCAGCTACAGACACCATTCAAATATCAAACTATTCAGCCTTTTCAGCACATGACGGGAAACCTTCAATTTCTTCAACATATGTTATACTTTTCAAAATATTCAGCTTTTTAAACTCTTTTTTTAACATGGAACTCAATGGGAGGAACCTTCACATCCTCTTTTAACTACACCGTGCCCAAATGCTACTCCTTCCACATACTTTCAGCTTGAGACTTCATTCCAACTTTAAAATGTAGGAAAACCTCTCCTACGTTGAAAAAAATATTAAACAAAATGCCTCTTGAGGGCATGAAGAGACAACAACTTGTCAAAAAGTCCAGCTAGCTCCCAATAGACTCCCATGTTAAATGTGTCCGGAACTTTCTTCAGAACAGAGAGAAGTAAACTTTAGACAAACTGCTCCCATCTCCACATTTTACACACAAAACCCCCCAAAAAACATATTTCAGTTCATTGGGGTTCCCTCATGCTCACGGTCTGGTAATTTTTTTATAGGAGCCATAGTTTTTGAACAGGTGGCAAAATTGTCAGATATAATCCCCAATGCATTCTTATGGGACTCAGTGCTGCAGCTGGTAACCATGGTGTTGCTGGGCAGATTGAAACCTTTGATCTCTGGGCTCACACAGGTGATATGATTATTTGTTCTCATTAGGTGCTCAGCACAGAAACAAACACACTGGACTTTAACAGACTGTATCAGCCTATTCTTGTCTGTCTGATGGAGACTTCATACTGACTTCAATATGTTCCACATCTTTTATACATTATTGGTGACATTTGGTTTTAGACGAAAGGTTTGCAGTTTGTCAAAAATATTCTGCTGCTTTCCCAAGCCTTTTTACTTTCTTTTCTCTTCTTAATACGCATTAATTCACTACTACTTACATCTCCTTCAGCCTACTTTCAGCTACACACCATTCAACTATTACATTATTCAGCTATTTCAGGACATTGAGGCTATACATGTTGTTGTTTATACCTTTCTTAAAACCTTTTCTTTTAAATATTAAGCTTCTTCACTATGTTTCCTCCTCTTCCAGTTTAACATTTCACTTTCAAGTTTTCAACAAAGTCATTGCAATGCATTTGAGCTGTAACAATTTTGATTCAAATAATTTCACCTTTCTGCATTTCTCCACTAAGTTCAGCAACACACTTACTTGGTCTCTGTAGCTAAAAGCAGCTACCATTCAGCTAATAACATATTCCGCTTTTTCTGCATTTTCAGCTAAATTCAGCCACACATGTTCACAGTTTACAGCATTCACACGCATTTTCTGCAGGAAATGCATTTTCTAGTTTTCGTCTGCATACCATTTACAAACACTGAACACCAGCCCTCTCGTGTCTGATGAATAAATCCAGAGATCTCATGCCCCTTTTCCACCAAACCGGTTCCAGTGCCGGTTCCGGGTTAGAGCCTCTAACTGTGACCTGATTAAGAGCCTGATTGTAATGTTTATTTTATTATCTTTGCTTTTTAATGACTGTTTTTAAATGCCTTTGTCTGAATGTCTTTCATTTTTGTAAAGCACTTTGAATTGCCTTGTGTTGAAAGGTGCTATATAAATAAACTTGCCTTGTCTTGCCTAAGCTCTGGTTCTTCCCGTTTCCACCTCAGCGGAGCCGGTGTCGGTACCATATGTGTTCGGGGTACCATATGTGTTCGGGGTCCTTCTCTTACCAGTGACGTCACGACGTAATGACGTCAATGACGTCAATAAAATAAAATACTCAGGGGAGTTTCCTGAATTTTCATGCCCAAAGCCAAGCACTAGGCCCTGGGTAAATTAAGAGGCTGATCTGGGGCACTTTTGTCCACTTTCCCTGGTGCTAGAAACTCAAGTCAGGCATCCCTGGAATCGTCTCAGAGATTTGATGATCAGTGGGGCCTTGTTTTTACTGAAACATAATGTTTCGATGGGGTGGCTGTGGCTCTGTGGATAGAGTGCTGGACTTCGAATCAGAGGGTAGCAAGTTCGAGTCCCACTGCAGTCAGCATGTCGTTGTGTCCCTGGGCAAAACACTTCACCCCAAATTGTTCCTGTGGGGATTGTCCACAGTACTGAATGTATGGAAGTCGCTTTGGATAAAAGCGTCTAACAAGTGACATGTAATGTAATGTAATATTTCCATTTAAAATGCTAACCGCTAGCATCGCAGCCACTGCTCCGTTTTCGGAGACTTTGCACACGTTATTCACAAACATTTTCACAGGCTAGGAGTATGGGAGTAGTAGTGTAAACATAATTATGTAAATAACCCAATTTGTGTTTTGTGAAACGGAAAAGGATTCTATGGAAACAACATCACGGAGAAAAAAGTAATATCTTCTAATAACGGACAAAGTAAAGAATGAAGTGTAGGCTGTGTTTAAATGTTCGGAATTTGACCGTGTATGATGGTCCTCTTGAGTTGCCGTACAGCCAGTGGCGTACAGTCATTGCTCCGTTTTCATGTTTTTTTAACATGTTTTTCACAAACATTTTCACACGCTAGGAGTATAAGAATACTTCAATTTGGTTCGTCATGATCTGTAGATGTGATTTGTCCCCGAGCACCCCTGGGAAAATTACCGTACAGCCAATCACAATGCGTACAATGCGTGACGTCATTGGTAAGAGACGGCCCCCGAACACATCTGGTACCGACACCGGCTCTTAGCTGGCCCCACTCGGCTGCCCGGAAAGAACCAAGAACCAAGACTTCACGCTTACGTCGGAGGGGGCGGGCGAGATTAACTTGAGCAATAACAGTTCATGGCGAGTACAGCAAACAAAAAATGTAACAAGCAGTAGCGCTGAGCAAAGTGCTTAGAACGCAACCACACACTTCGGATGGAATCAATACATGGGCTGCACAGGTTGCCATGTCCGACTATCACAAGTAGAATCATAATGAAAAATACGCCGGTAAAATCTGAAAACGGCTTATGCCACAATAGGATAGCAACAAGTAGTCAATGTCAGTGGGCAGTGAGTGTGGTACCTGGAGGCCAGCTTGTTCTTCTCCTTGCGGCTCCGCGCCCTCGCGCCAGCCGGCAGCTCGTTGACGGGCTCCATGCCCTCGATGGCAGCGTTCAGTTTCTGCAGCTGCTCCCCGATGTTGTGCAGCTTCTGGGGGTTCGGAGTCAGGTCGCTGGCGTCCGTCTTACGAGCTTTACGACGCCCTTTTTTACCTGGATAATGGACAACATAATAGTTTTATTGTTACTGTATTAGAAAGGGGTGTGATTCATTTGATTAATATGTCATATATTGAACATCAGATTTTAATTTCTTCCATTAAAGGGTATGTATAGCGCCCCTTCTTACCGGGATAAAAGCAAGGCAAGTTTATTTATATACCACCTTTCAACACAAGGCCATTCAACGTGCTTTTTTACAAAAATGAAAGACATTAAGAGCATTAAGAAACATATTATAATAAAGGACAACATATTCTCAGAATGTATTTTTACTGCATGAGTGAGGACTGGGATACCCTAAGATTGATATGTCATATATTGAACATCAGATTTGAATTTCTTCCACTAAAAAAGGTAAAACAAAGCAATAAGAACAAAAATAAACTAATCAGTGTGACGGGCAATTTGTATCCTGATAGGCTAAACTTTTTCAGGTTAAAGTGGCCCTATTGTGCTTTTTGGGGTCTTCCCTTTCCTGTAGTGTGTTCTATAGGTTTTAGTGCATGTAAATGGTCTGCAAAAGCTAAAATCCCTGTGTTCCCTGCCCCCCCTGTCTGAAACGCCTCCATTGATTACTTCAGTAACACAATGACATCACTATATAACACTCACGATTCTATTGGCTATCGCTCCAACACATTGTACGTGATATACTAGGGGGCGGGACATCTCAAAGCGGTCGACCAATCACAACAGAGCCGGCCAACTAACCAGCTAATTATTATGTTATGATACTCTGAGTGAGTGAGGGTTTAATGTCCCTACGTTCAATGTTTCATATATTGAACTTCATTTTAATTTCTTCCATAAAAGGGTAAAACTAAATAATCAGAGCAGACTGGGCTCTGGTTTCAGACAGAGGGTGAAAAGAGGTGCTGCAGCACAGACAGTATGAGAAACATAAAGAGCTCTTTGAACATTAAAGCATGGAGACATGTCGAGACACTAAATACTGATATACACCTGAGCATCAGCAGGAGAGGACTCTTTAAAGTAGAGACACTACATACTGATATACACCTGAACATCAGCAGGAGAGGACTCTTTAAAGTAGAGACACTACATACTGATATATACCTGAACATCAGCAGGAGAGGACTCTTTAAAGTAGAGACACTACATACTGATATACACCTGAACATCAGCATGAGAGGACTCTTTAAAGTAGAGAAACTACATCCTGATATACACCTGAACATCAGCAGGAGAGGACTCTTTAAAGTAGAGACATTACTGATATACACCTGAACATCAGCAGGAGAGGACTCTTTAAAGTAGAGACACTACATACTGATATGCACCTGAAACATCAGCAGGAAGAGGACTCTTTAAAGTAGAGACACTACATACTGATATACACCTGAAACATCAGCAGGAGAGGACTCTTTAAAAGTAGAGACACTACATACTGATATACACCTGAACATCAGCAGGAGAGGACTCTTTAAAGTAGAGACACTACATACTGATATACACCTGAACATCAGCAGGAGAGGACTCTTTAAAGTAGAGACACTACATACTGATATACAACCTGAACATCAGCAGGAGAGGACTCTTTAAAGTAGAGACACTACATACTGATATACACCTGAACATCAGCAGGAGAGGACTCTTTAAAGTAGAGACACTACATACTGATATACACCTGAACATCATGCAGGACGAGGACTCTTTAAAGTAGAGACACTACATACTGATATACACCTGAAACATCAGCAGGAGAGGACTCTTTAAAAGTAGAGACACTACATACTGATATACACCTGAACATCCAGCAGGAGAGGACTCTTTAAAGTAGAGACACTACATACTGATATACACCTGAACATCAGCAGGAGAGGACTCTTTAAAGTAGAGACACTACATACTGATATACACCTGAACATCAGCAGGAGAGGACTCTTTAAAGTAGAGACACTACATACTGATATACACCTGAACATCAGCAGGAGAGGACTCTTTAAAGTAGAGACACCACATACTGATATACACCTGAACATCATCAGGAGAGGACTCTTTAAAGTAGAGACACTACATACTGATATACACCTGAACATCAGCAGGAGAGGACTCTTTAAAGTAGAGACATTACACACTGATATACACCTGAACATCAGCAGGAGAGGACTCTTTAAAGTAGAGACACTACATACTGATATACACCTGAACATCAGCAGGAGAGGACTCTTTAAAGTAGAGACACTACATACTGATATACACCTGAACATCAGCAGGAGAGGACTCTTAAGAGAGAACTACATACTGATATACACCTGAACACCAGCAGGAGAGGACTCTTTAAAGTAGAGACACTACATACTGATACACACCTGAACATCAGCAAGAGAGGACTCTTTAAAGTAGAGACACTACATACTGATATCACCTGAAACATCAGCAGGAGAGGACTCTTTAAAGTAGAGAGAGCACTACATACTGATATACACCTGAACATCAGCAAGAGAGGACTCTTTAAAGTAGAGACACTACATACTGATATACACCTGAACATCAGCAGGAGAGGACTGTTTAAAGTAGAGACACTACATACTGATATACACCTGAATATCAGCAGGAGAGGACTCTTTAAAGTGAGACACTACATACTGATATACACCTGAACATCAGCAGGAGAGGACTCTTTAAAGTAGAGACACTAATATGAACCTGAACATCAGCAGAATATGTCCGCAACTTTGTTTCTAAGGATTTGAAAATAGGTCAAGATGGTGTACTTGCTGATCTCTTTTTCAATGCATGACACAATAATACAAAATCAAATCAGATAAAACAAATCTCGATGACATGTTGGAAGAAGCAGTTTCAGAATCTATGGTACAATGTTACATTTGTATTTCCCATGCAGTAGGGATTTTACTGTACGGTGCATTACTGATGTCTGGTTCCTGTGAAGAACAAAGGGCTGCCACACTGTCTGATGTAAGACTCACTTATCAGGGGAGTGTTGAAAAATTCACATTTTTACATAAAAGTTGTATGTAGGGCAAATGCCTGAGGGTCCCGATCCGATTCATGTCACATGAGAGGAGAGAAATGGGACACTTTGAGCTGCAGTGAGAGCGTCGCTTTAACTCCGGGTGACAAACAGTTCTCACTCTGAACATCCATGTGGATAAGCCTCCAAATAAAAATGAATCTATAAATAATCTGTAGGATTAATCAGGAGGCAGAACTTACGTTTAATTGTTGATTAAATTATATTTAGTTTTGTTAGTTTGCCATCACTGTGAAATGTATGTTATTTTTGGCATATTATCCCTGTGTTCAATTATTTAGTGGATGTTCTGCCTCTTCCTTCACTATATATTATTTGGTATGTGTTATGTATTTTGTTTCGCAGCACCATGATGGAGAGTCAATCATCGCTACGGCTGAATGATTTGACAAAAATAATTTACGACAATGTGGGGAATAAATCATTTCTGCATGCTCGTTTTCACTTTCTTTGATTAAAAAGGACATATTTCATTTTCAGGTTCATATTAGTATTTAGTGCCTCTACTCTGACAGGTGCTTACATTGGAGGGAACACAGGGATTTTAGTCTTTGCAGACCATTGACATGCACTAAAACATATAGAACACACTACAGGAAACGGAAAACCCCAAAAAGCTGAATAAGACCTCTTTAAAATGATCATGATGAGGTTTTTTGCGATGGCCACAACTTAATAAAACTTCATTCAGATTGTATTATGACATTAGCCGTTAACATTGCACTTTTAGCTGCAACCATTATTTTATCATTTTCATGAATTGTCTTTTTTGTTTGTGTACAACTATTATGTGTTAAATGCCCATGTGAAGCACTTTGAATTGCCTCTGTGAGTTTATTTGTATAGCACATTTTAAGACACACATTGAACAGATACGGCACAAATTGGATGTTATCCATATTGTATTTTCTAAGTCAGTAACTACTGAAGACCCATCTTTTTACATTGGCTTTTGTCTCTACTTGAGATGTGTGTGATGTGTTCTCATTTGATCCTTTCAGGACTCACGTGGTCTGTGTTTTGTTTTTATGTTGACCTTAATGTCTGCCTCATGTTTCTGTGGTCTTCATTTCAACTTTTGTTCTTTCTTGTGAAGCACTTGAACTCTATTTCTGTGAAAGGTGCTATACTAAACAAACGTATTATTATTATAATTATAATTATTAAGTGATGTCCAGTCATGGTGCTCACCCTCTCTGCGGTACAGGGTGCTGGGCAGCGTGCTGGAGCTCCAGGACAGAGACCAGTGCACGTCTCCGCCCAGCTTCTTCTTGGCGGCCGACTCTCGAGCGCGGCGATATTCCCAAAAACATCGACGCTTCGACGGACGCTCGCCCGCCTGCCTCACAGGCTCCGCCTCCACCTCTGAGGGACACACATGGAGACAGAGATTTGATTTAATATTAATACATGTCATTTATATAACGTTTTTCCTGGTGCTCAAATTACTTATATATATATATGTGAAATATGAGCACCAGTACAAATTGTGATAAAGGCTTTTGCAGATGTGTGGCTGAATGGATTTTTAATGAAAATATCTAATGATGTTTTTCTTTGCGTGATTTAAAAACAGTGACGTTTGATTTTAGCATGGAGCCAGGGAAACATTTTGGTTAGATATTTCCCCCAGCCGCATCACATGGAAAATCATTCTGTACTTCACTGCAGACATTTAGATTTTAAGCCAACACAACTAGGTTAAATATGAAATACAGAGATAAATGCCAGGTCAAATATACGTTGACCTGGCATGACAACACACATTGTCTTCAGTAATGTCTTGTCATAATATCTGTCCTTCTTGATGTTGGAAATGGAGCTGCTGTGATGCAGGAAACATTTCACACTTGATCCATCAATAAAGTATTCTTGTATCATATCGTATAGAGTGTGAATACACATATTTTCCAATATTCAATGTCTCTGAACTTTAAGCTTGAGAAACAGAATGTAGTTAAATATCAATTTTATAGTCCAATAAACTACAATCATATCCTTTTTGCTGCATTCACATGCATCAAGTTCGATCAACAACAGCTCTGAAACAGCCATCAACCTGTTATTTAAATGGTCTTGGCAATAAAATACAACATTGTTTGTGTAGAGTCCATGTTGTTTCCACATTTTGGCTAAAAGCTCTTGAACGCACCGTCTGAGGAGCAAGTGAATGCACCATTGTCCTCAGACGAGTATCTTTTCAGTTTAATATGATCTCGAGGTTTTGGACTTCATAAAAAGAAACACTGATGCAATAAACCAAATATAGAATCAATACTCGGGGCTGTTTAATAAAACATCACAAAGAATACCCTCCATTGTTCTGGAGGTGGACAGCACTGACAGCCGTGCATGAGATATTGAATAGAAGGGAAATACGCTGGAGTTAATGCGACAGATGAAACCCGATCATAACTGACAGCTTTAGTGTTTACGTTTTCCTGCTATGAAATCACGCTACGCTAATCCACAAACACACGTCCTGGTGACAAAGACACACACACACACACACACACACACACACACACACACCACACACACACACACACACACACACACACACACACACACACACACACACACACACAACACACCACACACACACACACACACACACACACACACACACACACACACACACACACACACACACACACACACACACCACACACACACACACACACTACACACACACACACACACACACACACACACACACACACACCACACACACACACACACACACACACACACACATCACACACACACACACACACACACACACACACACACACACACCACACACACACACACACACACACACAACGTATACATCACTTCAGGGGACATTACATTGACTTACATGTATTTCCTGGAGACTTATCCTAACCTTAACCATAACCAACACATGCCTAATCCTAACCCTAACCAAGTCTTCACCCTAAAATTAATGATTCCCCTCATGGGGACCTCCAATTTGTCCCCATAAGGGAAGCCAGTCCCCACACGTGACTATGTAAACAGATGTAGGTCCCCACAAGTATAGTAATGCTAGACCACACACACACACACACATACACACACACACACACACACACCACAGAAGATTAGCCTCGGGTCTGCAGAGCCATGAATACCGTTATCATAAATAATACAACATGCAGAGGAGACGCTGCTTCCAATCCAGCAACAAACAAAAAAATTACATTTCCTGCAAATAATGGAAATACCAACTCCTCCTAGCGGGGATTAATTCGGAAAGTTAATAACCATGAAGTCCTATCTTAGCGATTAACCAGGGTTATCTCTCTCACACACACACACACACACCCTTATATAACATGATGTCGCCATTGTCTGCTCTCTCCCTCACCTCCATCTTTCACTCCCAACGCCCTTTGTTTTCATATACGATTATACCCATATTTTAACAATGTATAACGTGTGCATGAAGAAGAACGGCACGATGAATCAAATATGAAATGTGCCATCGAGTGCATTCACAAAGCCATGCACCAGTGATACAGCTGTTCTCAATAGACGACATAGGATCGCTCTCTTCTCAGGGCGATGAGAAGCAGAGGATATATTTATCTGGATTATCAGTGCATTTGATGATCATGGATGCAAAGTCACAATATGTCAAAATATTTCCTGTTTTATTTTGAAAAGTGTGTTGTCTTTTTTGACTTCCTGTCTCTGTGTTTTCCCGCCTGCTTGATTACCTGCTTCTGTTCACCTCCTTATGTTTTCCCTGACTCGCCCGCCTGTCTCTTGCCCTTGTGATTAGTTCTGCATGTGTTTAAGGTCTGATGTTTTTGTTGATAGCTTGTCGGGTCCTTGTTGATTGTTCATGAGAGTTATGTTGTGTTTGCCTTGCTCTGTTTTTTCCTGGATAACCTACAATAAAGGATGGTTTTTTTCAAAGTTAATTTGTGTCCTTCACTTGGGTCCACCCTCCTCTGCTCTCCAGTGTTTCAGAATATCGATCTATATATCATCATCTTCAAGATATAGATTTATTTCGGACTCAAATATGTTCATTTAATTCATTTCTTGTTTTAACAGCTGCTTACCTGTATATCATTTTAATTATATCTTTAAATTGTATTAATCTTGTGTGAATCTGTACTGTACTTTCGCTTTTGTCCATCTTATCTTATTTTAGAAATGTTCCCTTTGCACCTCTGTGTCACCATGTCCATCTAAACACGCCTCTTTTGTACAGAGCTCGGTAGAAAAATAAAATCATATTTTAGTTGCTTTTTGGAAGTGGAAATACATTGAATTAATTACATTACATTGGCCTATTATGTCCCTGAGGACCCTGATTGAATCACAATAATATTGTGGCAGACTTTGTGGTCTCAGCGAATATCGTATCGTTGACCAAAGAATCGAGAAAAATGGCATCACGGTGAAACGTTGGATAAATATCCCTAACAAGAAGCAGCTTCATCAAACAAAAATACCAAAATGTGTGGCTTTTTTAACGTCTTGTTGTTGAAGCTTTTTTATGACACACCTTGTGAGAGAATCCATGGCGGCCAAATATGAAAACGAGTAGTCTGGACCTTTGAGTGATTGTTTTCGATGTGACCTGCACCTATCCTAGAGGAAGCGTTTACATCCAAGGTATTTGTAGGAGCCAGAATGCCCTTTAGCCTGACTTTATTATTTGTATTATGAGTTGTTTACATCACTTTTATTTGTATTTGTTGAGCACTTCCAGCAACTGTCACATGGGTGTGGTATGATTTAGTTTATTAAATATCAACCGTTTTTAAACTTCAGTATGGACTTTCTCATTGAAAACGCGTCGCAGCATGAAGCCGAGCTCAGCCTCTTGACGACTCAAATTTAAATGGGAATTTAGCCGGCTAGGGCTGCACGATATATCGTGTCGTGACGATAATCGCGATAAGCACTGCACACTATTCACATCGCAGGAGGTGCGATTTCTTTTATTTATTTATTTTTTAGGACTTGCGATATTAAGTAGGCAAATCAACTCTGAATTATTTTGCTGCTTGCTACAAAAGGAAAACTTGCGCGGCTCTCATGTCAGGGACTTGAGTGAGTGACAGCAAACCACCGATCACAATCAAATCTCCAAAGCAAACGGACCCGGAGATTAAAGGTAACAACACTGAATAAAGTAGTTTCATGTGTTTCTCCAGTTCGGCGCTGCTAACCGAGCTAGCTCAGCTTGTTGCTCTGATAACTTAAGATCCAGACGTCCGTGACTAAAATCCTTCATCCGGTTAAATATAGTTAAAAAAATTCCAATTGTATAGCAATAAAGTTCAAGAGATGATGGTTTGCGGAAAAAAAACCAACGGCCTTTTCTTCAATTCCTGTATGTTTTCATATCGCAATATACAGTGGGCAAAAAAGTATTTAGTCAGCCACCAAGTGTGCAAGTTCTCCCACTTAAAAAGATGAGAGGCCTGTAATTTTCATCCTAGGTACACTTCAACTATGAGAGACAGAATGGGGGGAAAGAATCCAGGAAATCACATTGTAGGATTTTTAATGAATTAATTGGTAAATTCCTCTTTAAAATAAGTATTTGGTCACCTACAAACAAACAAGATTTCTGGCTCTCACAGACCTGTAACTTCTTCTTTAAGAGCCTCCTCTGTCCTCCACTTGTTAACTGTATTAATGGCACCTGTTTGAACTCGTTATCAGTATAAAAGACACCTGTTCACAACCTCAAACAGTCACACTCCAAACTCCACTATGGCCAAGACCAAAGAGCTGTCAAAGGACACCAGAAACAAAATTGTAGACCTGCACCAGGCTGGGAAGACTGAATCTGCAATAGGTAAGCAGCTTGGTGTGAAGAAATCAACTGTGGGAGCAATTATTAGAAAATGGAAGACATACAAGACCACTGATAATCTCCCTCGATCTGGGGCTCCACGCAAGATCTCACCCCGTGGGGTCAAAATGATCACAAGAACGGTGAGCAAACATCCCAGAACCACACGGGGGGGACCGAGTCAATGACCTGCAGAGAGCTGGGACCAAAGTAACAAAGGCTACCATCAGTAACACACTACGCCGCCAGGGACTCAAATCCTGCAGTGCCAGACGTGTCCCCCTGCTTAAGCCAGTACATGTCCAGGCCCGTCTGAAGTTTGCTAGAGAGCATTTAGATGATCCAGAAGAGGATTGGGAGAATGTCATATGGTCAGATGAAACCAAAATAGAACTTTTTGGTAAGAACTCAACTAGACGTGTTTGGAGGAGAAAGAATGCTGAGTTGCATCCAAAGAACACCATACCTACTGTGAAACATGGGGGTGGAAACATCCTGCTTTGGGGCTGTTTTTCTGCAAAGGGACCAGGACGACTGATCCGTGTAAAGGAAAGAATGAATGGGGCCATGTATCGTGAGATTTTGAGTGACAACCTCCTTCCATCAGCAAGGGCATTGAAGATGAAACGTGGCTGGGTCTTTCAGCATGACAATGATCCCAAACACACCGCCCGGGCAACGAAGGAGTGGCTTCGTAAGAAGCATTTCAAGGTCCTGGAGTGGCCTAGCCAGTCTCCAGATCTCACCCCCATAGAAAATCTTTGGAGGGAGTTGAAAGTCCGTGTTGCCCAGCGACAGCCCCAAAACATCACTGCTCTAGAGGAGATCTGCATGGAGGAATGGGCCAGAATACCAGAAACAGTGTGTGAACACCTTGTGAAGACTTACAGAAAACGTTTGACCTCTGTCATTGCCAACAAAGGGTATATAACAAAGTATTGAGATGAAATTTTGTTATTGACCAAATACTTATTTTCCACCATCATTTGCAAATAAATTCTTTAAAAATCAGACAATGTGATTTCCTGGATTCTTTCCCCCCATTCTGTCTCTCATAGTTGAGGTGTACCTAGGATGAAAATTACAGGCCTCTCATCTTTTTAAGTGGGAGAACTTGCACAATTGGTGGCTGACTAAATACTTTTTTGCCCCACTGTATATCGCAGTGGGGGCAAAAATCGCAATGTCAGTTTTTTCCAATATCGTGCAGCTCATAAATGACCACTATAACATCCGATGTATTGGCAGATAGATGTAAAAAAAGAACTTGAGATGGAGCTGCGTGGAAAGTTTTACACTGAGATGCTTTAAAATTCTCACTGAAAGGGGCCGATACGTTCTTTACTGTAAGGTCAAATAAAGTCTTCCTTTCATTCTTTTACATGTAGAACAGACGCATATAAAATCTGCACCTTTACCTCAGCACTGAGATGGTTTTTAGGAGCGATTGTTCTCTAACAACCTTGGACATAAATGCTTCATTGGAAAGTGTTACATATGAATGCCTGTACTTTCTCAATGAGGGTGGAAAAAAGGTTTGATTTGCCCTTTACTATGAGGTCAACTCTTCTATCATCACGTTTCAATCGTTTGTACGTGTTATGGGTCCCCGATATAAGGACCACAGTAACAGTGATGATACCTGTAATGAGCAGGTGAGACAGGAGCAATAAGGACATGGGTTATTTGGTTTCCTTCCAGATTGCTTCTGTTGGTAGTTTTATTACACAAACTTATTTAAACATCTTAATTCTCTTATGCATTTCAGTGTATTTACTTAATCATTCACTTTTCTGACAGCTTCATCAACACACATCCACTGTCAACACACATTCAAGCTGAACTTTACATTCACTAATCTTTTCGTACCTTTCATACATCTTGTTTTACAGTATTAAACCTGTATTAAATATCCCTTGAAACTGTAATTACCCTTCTGCCATTCATTGCAGGTCACTAAAATGCATTTAAACTAGAGAATCATAATGCTACAAACACTACAGCATACTTGTGTAACAAACATCCAGTATAACACTACCTAAATTATACCTTTCATAAGGTGCATATTTATTCATAACTTCACATGTATGGAAATATTTAGTGGGCGGGAGCCTTCAGACACACTATCTCACTCGCACCATCTCCGTGTCAGACCACGTTATCCCCAAGATGGCGCCGCATGGGGAAAGCTAAGCCAATACGCACACACATTCTTTTAACATGTAAACAGTGCTACAAACACTCCGCACTTTTAGTGGGCCGTCACACTATATACGCGAACATTATGGGGGGGGTTCATATGATTTTTGCACCTTTTACCAACCTGTAATGAGCAGGTGAGACAGGAGCAATAAGGACACGGGTTATTTGGTTTCCTTCCAGATTGCTTCTGAGGAAACACCGGAAGTCCGTCCCTCTAACCAGTCCCCGGAACACAAACGTTCCGCCACACTTCCAAATGCACTGCTCAACCTCGCCAACGAAATGGACAGATGTACAAAACAAAGGCATATTCCAACTCCAAACAATAATAATTATTATATTAATGTGGTCACACATCCCAGGGGTGCCACACGCTCCCCGACAACAAAAGTGGTTCCCGACACTTGAAATTACATGTTCCTATTCAAGATAACTTTAACATCTTCAAAAAACACAATATTTACAATATCCAAACTATCACCCTCAAAATGTATGACCCTTAGTGTAGAGGAAACTTCTGTGTAGCTATGCACTGGGAGTCACCGACTCAGGAAGGAGACACGGGAAGAGCAGTAGCTTTGATGTCAAACACATGATGGTTTATTTGGAGTTAACGGCCGGAGGATTCACATCACAAGTCCAAGAGTCAGAGGTTCTGACTTCACGGTAGAGTTGCCACGTCAATTCTGAAGAACTCTACCCCAGACCCATGTATTTAGCTAGTTCAGAGAGCATCATCAACATGCTGCATAACAAGATAGAATGATAACACCTCTATCAGCTGATGCCAACAGGCAGGAACAGGGAGACAAAACACTGAGAGCACAGCAGCCAAGGTTACAGGTGCCTGTGCTCAGTCAGGACAGTTTGAACTGATACACTGGGTCAAAGTTATGGGCCTTGGAAAATATTCCACAACACTTAGGACTAACACTGTGTGTGACCTTTCAATACCCTTGTATGGGACATGTAAATGGGGAATGGGGATATGGAATGAGGGGTGCGTAGTGGAATGATGGTGGGCATGTTTGTGAATACCAAAGGTGAGTGTAGGGCAAGAGGTATGTGTCCATAGCATTTACTGTTGGACCTGACTGGTATGTTGGGTGGCCAAGAGATGAGTAGGTGAGGATTTGACCCGGTCGTCTCTCCCGAGTAGACCGTCTCAGTGGGACAGGTGAGTAAGGTTCAGGGTCTTGTACCCATTCCTCGGGACATGCACGTTGAGGCAACTCTTGTTCATCTTCGTTCTGAGGTACATTAGGAGTTGTCTGCTCATTGTCCTCCTCTGAGTCAGTTTGATGAGAGACTTCCGGTTCATCCTCAAGTTGAAGTTCACCCCTGTCTGACGAGTACTCTTCTTCACAAAGACCTCTAGCCTGTTCTCCAGCTTCCCGTTGCGCAATGTCCAAGTCAGGTAAAGTTTGGAACTCTAGCTGTCTCTCTACACCAGAGTTCCTGGTAGTCTTTCCAAACATCTCCTCAGAAGAATGTGGTTCCCACACTGATGTCTGTTCTCTTCTTAACATACTTGGTCTTTTTGGAGTAACTGTTATGTTAGGCTTAACCCGATTTGCTGGTATCCTCAGCCAGTAACCTCCTGTTGACTCATCCTCTGAATCAGATGTCTCAGCATTTTGGTCTCTCACATCCCTTTGTCTCCTTGGATGTCTTCCTTGATTCTGTGATGGCTTTGGAGTTGGTTTGACTAACTGTGGTGGAAATTCCACTGGCAAGTCATTGACAAGCAGAAGCAGGTTTCTGTGCAGGGTTCTGGTTTTCCCTTTTGCATCACTTTCTGGATGAACGACATATACTGGGTTATCTGAAACCTGTTCCTTTACCACATATATCCTCTTCTCCCAATAGGAACGCAATTTACCAGGCCCTCCGTGCTCACTTAGGTTCCTGACTAACACTCTATCCCCTTGCTTCAGAACCACTCCCCTCGCCTTCTGATCATAATAGGACTTGCCCTTTGCACTAGACGCCAGACTGTTATCAGTAGCAATCCGATATGCTTCTGTCATCCTTTCGCGCCATTTATCAGCATATCCTTTGTGTGTCACTGGATCTATCTCCTCTGACAGGCCGAACAGGTGATCCACAGGGAGATGAGGTTGACGACCATAGAGCAGAAAGTGAGGCGAATAACTGGTTGATTCGTGACGTGTGCAGTTATATGCATGTATAACCTGTGGAAGATGTTCTTTCCATGTCTCTTTTTCTTTGTCTGTCAGCGTTCGCAGCATCTGTAACAGAGTTCGGTTGAACCGCTCAGCTGGATTTCCTTGCGGGTGGTAAGGAGATGTTCGAGAGTGGCCTACTCCAGCGAGCTGCCCGAGTGTTCGAAAGAGATAATTCTCGAATTATCTTCCTTGATCATGGTGCAGTTTGTTGGGGAACCCAAAACGGGGTATAAAGTCATTATAAATCCGCTCTGCTGCTGTCCGTCCGGATTTATTTTTGGTTGCATAGGCCTGTGCGAACCTTGTGAAGTGGTCGACTACCACCAAGATATATTCATAGCCTCCTTTACTTTTCTCAAGGTGCAAATAGTCAATGCAGACCAGTTCAAGGGGTGAGTTAGACTTCATGCTGCTCATTGGTGCACGCACATGGACCGTTGGTTTCTTCTGTTTAATGCAACAGCATTTATTTGTCACATAATCCTCTATGAATCTTTTCATATGAGGCCAGTAAAACCTTTCTCTGGCTAGTTGAATTACTCTCTCTGTGCCTACATGTCCCATGTTATCATGAAGGTGCTTCAAGACAAAATACTGATATTTCAGAGATAGGACAAGCTGTTTTCTCTCTGTTGTCCGCCGATATAGGATTCCATCTTCAAGGTGTAGACCACTCGTGGAGAAGCTTACACGCGGTTCCCTTGACTGACCTCCTCATATCATCTGAAAGTTTATCACTAACTTCTTTTAGCCTTACGATCTCTCCAATCGTTTGGTCTTCCCTTTGGGCTTGAACCAACTCATTGTGAATTATTTCCTGTAGAGGTGTGCACGGCTGTGGAATAACATCAAGGGAGGAGGCAGAGAGGGCAGCTACCCAGGCAACATCTTTTCTCTGAGCTGCTTGACCTCCTTCCCAGGTTTCTTTTTTTGTTGTTGTTTTGACCACGTTATCCCCAAGATGGCGCCGCATGGAGAAAGCTAAGCTATTACGCACACACATTCATACATTCTTTTAACATGTAAACAGCGCTACAAACACTCCACACTTTTAGTCTCTCGTCCAATGAAATGACTTGCTCGCTCTATGAGGCGTTGAACCCAATGTGAGAAAATTACTCTGAATGCTGCAACGCAGCACCTGAGATTACTTCCAAGAAGTTCTTCACGTTCTCAATTTTTTACGTTTAACGTTATATTCGTTCGGTACACTTCGGTACACGTGTGTACCGAAGTGTACCGAACCGAAGGGCCCGTACCGAATAATTTCGGTACGGGTACGTGTACTGTTACACCCCTACTATGTGGTTGACCAATCACAACAGAGCTGGCCAGCTAATCAATCAGAGCAGACTGGGCTCTAGTTTCAGACAGAGGGTGAAAAGAGGTGCTGCAGCACAGGCAGTATGAGAAACATAAAGAGCTTTTTGAACATTAAAGCATGGAGACATGTAGAGACACTAAATACTGATATACACCTGAACATCAGCAGGAGAGGACTCTTTAAAGTAGAGACACTACATACTGATATACACCTGAACATCAGCAGGAGAGGACTCTTTAAAGTAGAGACACTACATACTGATATACACCTGAACATCAGCAGGAGAGGACTCTTTAAAGTAGAGACACTACATACTGATATACACCTGAACATCAGCAGGAGAGGACTCTTTAAAGTAGAGACACTACATACTGATATACACCTGAACATCAGCAGGAGAGGACTCTTTAAAGTAGAGACACTACATACTGATATACACCTGAACATCAGCAGGAGAGGACTCTTTAAAGTAGAGACACTACATACTGATATACACCTGAACATCAGCAGGAGAGGACTCTTTAGAGACACTACATACTGATATACACCTGAACATCAGCAGGAGAGGACTCTTTAAAGTAGAAACACTACATACATATATACACCTGAACATCAGCAGGAGAGGACTCTTTAAAGTAGAGACACTACATACTGATATACACCTGAACATCAGCAGGAGAGGACTCTTTAAAGCAGAGACACTACATACTGATATACACCTGAACATCAGCAGGAGAGGACTCTTTAAAGCAGAGACACTACATACTGATATACACCTGAACATCAGCAGGAGAGGACTCTTTAAAGCAGAGACACTACATACTGATATACACCTGAACATCAGCAGGAGAGCACTCTTTAAAGTAGAGACACTACATACTGATATACACCTGAACATCAGCAGAAGAGGACTCTTTAAAGTAGAGACACTACATACTGATATACACCTGAACATCAGCAGGAGAGGACTCTTTAAAGTAGAGACACTACATACTGATATACACCTGAACATCAGCAGGAGAGGACTCTTTAAAGTAGAGACACTACATACTGATATACACCTGAACATCAGCAGGAGAGGACTCTTTAAAGAAGATACACTACATACTGATATACACCTGAACATCAGCAGGAGAGGACTCTTTAAAGTAGAGACACTACATACTGATATACACCTGAACATCAGCAGGAGAGGACTCTTTAAAGTACAGACACTACATACTGATATACACCTGAACATCATCAGGAGAGGACTCTTTAAAGTAGAGACAATACATACTGATATACACCTGAACATCAGCAGGAGAGGACTCTTTAAAGTAGAGACACTACATACTGATATACACCTGAACAATAGCAGGAGAGGACTCTTTAAAGTAGAGACACTACATACTGATATACACCTGAACATCATCAGGAGAGGACTCTTTAAAGTAGAGACAATACATACTGATATACACCTGAACATCAGCAGGAGAGGACTCTTTAAAGTAGAGACACTACATACTGATATACACCTGAACAATAGCAGGAGAGGACTCTTTAAAGTAGAGACACTACATACTGATATACACCTGAACAACAACAGGAGAGGACTCTTTAAAGTAGAGACACTACATACTGATATACACCTGAACATCAGCAGGAGAGGACTCTTTAAAGTAGAGACACTACATACTGATATACACCTGAACATCAGCAGGAGAGGACTCTTTAAAGGAGAGACGCTACATACTGATATACACCTGAACATCAGCAGGAGAGGACTCTTTAAAGTAGAGACACTATATACTGATATACACCTGAACATCAGCAGGAGAGGACTCTTTAAAGTAGAGACACTACATACTGATATGAACCTGAAGATGAGCAGAATAAGTCCTCTAAAAGTCTGGATGTCCCAATTGATGACAGCGTTGGGGTTTAAAGACTCATGTATTATGCTCCAAGCCTTCTGTGCAATCTGCTACACTCACTATCTGCAAACACACACTTTATCCTCTACTACAGTCTGACACAGTGCTTTGCATTCACGATGAGATAGTAGTAGGAGCATCTAAAAGCAAACACCCACACAGACATTGCCAACAAGAGAGAGCAACAATGGCGTCTCGCCTGTGGAAATATGACCCAAGCGGCTCTTTAAGAGCGAGCCAAACGACCTCTCCATTACCTCGCAACGAGAAGCCTGAGATTTGTTTATCCAATGCCAGAGAGAGGGAGCCTGGGAACAGATGCTAATCTGAAGTGAAGTCAGTTTACGTGTGTGTGTGTGTGTGTGTGTGTGTGTTGTGTGTGTGTGTGTGTGTGTGTGTGTGTGTGTGTGTGTGTGTGTGTGTGTGTGTGTGTTCTAACACTCGTGTTTAGAGGTGACTTCATGTCCAGACTGCAGGGCATGAAGTCACCTCTGGCATTTAAGCTCTTTAGCTTCTTCAACGTTGGTGTCTTAATGTGTAACAACAAGGAAACTGTTTTAGAAAAAGCAATATATTTAACCCTAGTTTTGATGTCATGGCCAACATTGTGTGTGTGTGTGTGTGTGTGTGTGTGTGTGTGTGTGTGTGTGTGTGTGTGTGTGTGTGTGTGTGTGTGTGTGTGTGTGTGTGTGTGTGTGTGTGTGTGTGTGTGTGTGTGTGTGTGTGTGTGTGAGCAGGTGCCACCTTGTATAGCATCCTCTGCCTCTGTATGAATGTGTGTGTGACTTATATATGTAAAAGTACTATGAATGGATATAATGACTGGAAAAGCACTTTACAAATGCAGTCAATTCCTGATTTTCCTTCAGGGTCTCGCCTTAATAACAATATTTGTGAATGAGGCACCAGATGAATGCTGCTCAATCCACCTTCTCATTTCTCTTCTACATCAACATGTGTCCCCTCTTCTTCATGTCTCTTCTACATCAACATGTGTCCCCTCTTCTTCATGTCTCTTCTTCATCAACATGTGTCCCCTCTTCTTCATGTCTCTTCTACATCAACATGTGTCCCCTCTTCTCCATGTCTCTTCTACATCAACATGTGTTTTGTCTTGTGTAACCATTAGCCAATCAGCAACCAAGGTAACCCCCCCCCCCCCACCTTATCACCTGAATCTCCTCCTAGAGCACCATTGAGTTCTTTGTAACCAAATGTCTCTCAGAGGGGCGTGGGGAGGGGCTCCTTATTTTCATCTAAAGTAACAGACAGAGAATCAGCACTTTGGAAACAGGGCTGAAACAGAGGGGATTATGGGTAATGCTGCAATTATCTGTTTGGTGTGTCAGCCAATCAGAGACAGGCTCTGTATATATCTGAGACCTGTTTGATGACAAACAGTATAATAGGGGACCTTTAAACAATTTGCACCAACTTTCATACTCTATTTACAAAGAGTGTTGCAGATGGTATTGAGACACATGAAGACCCTCTAACCCTCAGAGCTGATTCATCACAGTTTCTCCGGGAATTACATCCACAACTTCTTTGGTATTTAATGTTCCTCGGCCAGTCTCAGCAGGAGGTCTGGGGTCTCGTCTGGACCCCAAACACATTCAGATGGTTTCTGTGTGGGCAGATTTCACTGTGATTATTTTTGACTGAGAATGCAATACATCTGCAATTGAAACATTCTCATTATCATCGAACAATATATTTAAAATGTTCATGGTGTGATATTTTTAAGAGGATCTGTATTAAAAAAAGGCATTTTATTAAGTCTGTAGAATACGTTTTGTACACCAGGGCTTCTGAGCAACACCACAAGACTACATTCAGAATAATAGCACATATTTAGCGATTGTCAAATATTTGAACTATAACTAGTCCATATAGAGTGGTGAGGCGATGACGCATTTTTGTAGGGCGACTTAGAAGTTAGCTTAGCATTGACAAAAATTGGGTTCTGGAATATTGCAGAAAGTAATCTCTGTGGCAAGCAAACGTTTACAATACTTACACGTTTTGTTCAGCAGGATAATCTCCACATATTAAAACCACTTTATGGTTTTTGAAGCGTAAATGCAATCTCCTGAGGTAAAAAGCTAACGTTGGGCTATAAAGGAACTACAGCACGGTCACATGAGTTCACGTCACCACCGCTAAGCTAAAGGTGGCTAATGTTGGGCTATAAAGGAACTACAGCACGGTCACATGACTTCACGTCGCCACCGCTAAGCTAAAGGTGGCTAATGTTGGGCTATAAAGGAACTACAGCACGGTCACATGACTTCACGTCACCACCGCTAAGTTAAAGGTGGCTAATGTTGGGCTATAAAGGAACTACAGCACGGTCACATGACTTCACGTCACCACCGCTAAGCTAAAGGCGGCTAATGTTGGGCTATAAAGGAACTACAGCACGGTAACATGAGTTCACGTCACCACCGCTAAGCTAAAGGTGGCTAATGTTGGGCTATAAAGGAACTACAGCACGGTCACATGACTTCACGTCACCACCGCTAAGCTAAAGGCGGCTAATGTTGGGCTATAAAGGAACTACAGCACGGTAACATGAGTTCACGTCACCACCGCTAAGCTAAAGGTGGCTAATGTTGGGCTATAAAGGAACTACAGCACGGTCACATGACTTCACGTCACCACCGCTAAGCTAAAGGTGGCTAATGTTGGGCTATAAAGGAACTACAGCACGGTAACATGAGTTCACGTCACCACCGCTAAGCTAAAGGTGGCTAATGTTGGGCTATAAAGGAACTACAGCACGGTCACATGACTTCACGTCACCGCCGCTAAGCTAAAGGTGGCTAATGTTGGGCTATAAAGGAACTACAGCACGGTCACATGACTTCACGTCACCGCCGCTAAGCTAAAGGTGGCTAATGTTGGGCTATAAAGGAACTACAGCACGGTCACATGACTTCACGTCACCACCGCTAAGCTAAAGGTGGCTAATGTTGGGCTATAAAGGAACTACAGCACGGTCACATGACTTCACGTCACCACCGCTAAGCTAAAGGCGGCTAATGTTGGGCTATAAAGGAACTACAGCACGGTAACATGAGTTCACGTCACCACCGCTAAGCTAAAGGTGGCTAATGTTGGGCTATAAAGGAACTACAGCACGGTCACATGACTTCACGTCACCACCGCTAAGCTAAAGGCGGCTAATGTTGGGCTATAAAGGAACTACAGCATGGTAACATGAGTTCACGTCACCACCGCTAAGCTAAAGGTGGCTAATGTTGGGCTATAAAGGAACTACAGCACGGTCACATGACTTCACGTCACCACCGCTAAGCTAAAGGTGGCTAATGTTGGGCTATAAAGGAACTACAGCACGGTAACATGAGTTCACGTCACCACCGCTAAGCTAAAGGTGGCTAATGTTGGGCTATAAAGGAACTACAGCACGGTCACATGACTTCACGTCACCACCGCTAAGCTAAAGGTGGCTAATGTTGGGCTATAAAGGAACTACAGCACGGTAACATGAGTTCACGTCACCACCGCTAAGCTAAAGGTGGCTAATGTTGGGCTATAAAGGAACTACAGCACGGTCACATGACTTCACGTCACCGCCGCTAAGCTAAAGGTGGCTAATGTTGGGCTATAAAGGAACTACAGCACGGTCACATGACTTCACGTCACCGCCGCTAAGCTAAAGGTGGCTAATGTTGGGCTATAAAGGAACTACAGCACGGTCACATGACTTCACGTCACCACCGCTAAGCTAAAGGCGGCTAATGTTGGGTGTGATGACATTAAGTCGTCTCATTTAGACACTTGTTAGCAACCTCCGTTTTTAAATTCACCAGTGGGGTATTTTCTGATTAATTGTATGTCGTAGAATAACATTTCTTCAGCTTGTGTTAACCACAGACTAGGGCTGCTCAATTAATCGTATTTGAATCGCAATTACGATTTTGGCTTGCAACGATTATGAAAACAACATAATTTAAATAAAACGATTATTTATTTTGTATTATTATTTATTTAAAAAAAAAAATATATATATATTTTTGTATTGGTTTTTCAATTGAATTATACCTAAAGTTCAGGGGGTTTTTTTCCAATAAATTGATGTTTTCAATGTAATGGATGATCGTTTTTAATAATCGTGATATCAATTATTGACCCAAATAATCGAGATTAGGATTTTTGCCATAATCGAGCAGACATTATTTCAGGCAAAAAAAACTTCCAGACCAGTTAGCCGGAAGGGCTAAAATGCTAACTCACCACGTTGGGGGATTTTAAATTACATTTCAATACATTTTGCATCTCTTCTCAACATGTTCAGGTTCACCAGTCAGGTACTTACGGACGTATTTTATGTCGTAGAACAAAAATGTTATAATCTCAACCACAGACCTTATTTCAGGACTCAAACCAAAAACATGTAAAAAAAAACTGACTTTGAGACAAGGGAACAGGAAGTGGTTACATTCTGACTAACTGCCCCACTCTTTTGTAATGTTGACAACATTTCAATTCATTTCGCAGCTCTACTCACCACATTCAGTTTCTGAGGAGCTGGAGAGCTCAGCTTCCACCGCCGTCTCCTCCTCTTCCTCCTCATCTTCCTCTTCTTCCTCCTCCTCTTCGTCCTCCTTTTCCTCCTCCTCCAGATGTATCGCGGTCTTCTCCTGTCTCTCCTCCTGCTCCTCCTCCTCCTCCTCCTGCACCTCCTCCCTTTCTGATTGGGGGATATTAGGCCCCGCCCCCAGCTCCTCCCCCTTGCTCAGAGAGTAATTATGCTCTTCGCTGCAATGCTCCAACGCCAAACCTGCGGCCGCCGCCTCCTCTTCCTCCTGCGCCACCTGATACACCTCCTTAGAAACTCCTCCATCTTTCCCAGCAACACTTAAATCCCTCTCGGTTGTGGAAACAGGAAGAAGTTCCTCCCTCCCTGCCTGTACAGCTTCCTCCTCCTCCTCTTCCTCCTCCTCTTCCTCCTCTTCCCAGCGGTTCATCAGCACCGCCTCCTCGGAGCAGGCCAGCAGCTCCCCCCCCACCCCGAGGCCCAGCCGGGTGTATCGGGCCATCTCGTCCAGCGCGGAGACGTCCCAGCGCTCGGGGAGCAGGAGATCTTCTCCGAATCCTCCGTCGTCCACCAGGTCGCTGAGCAGCTCAAAGGGACGTTTTCTAGGAGACGCCGGGGAGCCCAGCATGAGGAGGATGCTCTGAAAGAGAAACAGAGACGAGCTTCAACATCACTGATATGTGAAAAAAACAATGTGTAATCTCCAAAATGGTCGAACGAGCTTCAGAAAGACAACAAACTTTTGTCTAAAACGGGTAAAAGGAACGCCTTCATACCAAAATGCCGATTTCCCCCGTAATGTTTAAGTGATGCCAGAAAACAATATTTCTGTTCGTTGAAAACTGTATAATTACTCCAGAAATATGAAAATCATGTCAAAGAGCGTCCGACGGCAGAGACAGCTTTGTTTTTAGGGCGTTCCGAATAAATAGGGAAAATAGGTTGATTGATTGATTGATAGGCAAGTCACGTTAGCGCCCTCATACTATCGAGAAAAACCCCTGTCTTCTGTCTTGCTTTTACCGTGGACAATACAAAAAAAAGTGTAACTTATGCAGAAGCATCCTCAGGGTTTATTGCACTTAATGTACGTCGCTTTGGACAAAAGATTCAGCTAAATGCGATGTGGTTTCTAAATATGTTAATATACTGTTAGTAGGTTGGTCCATTAGAAAGCACTAACTCTATTTTTCCTATCGTGTATTTGGAAGTACGGAAGAGGATTAGGGCCACATGTGAACGGAGGAGATGGTTCTATACAATAATAATCTTCAAGAAAATTGTCCCCACAGGAATGCTTGTAAAAAGGTTTAATTAAAAGTCTGATTTAAAGCTCCCATGACATGCTTTTCTGGTTATTACCCGGCCCCTTGTGTTATGAAGGTTTTTCTGCATGTAAACGGTCTGCAGAGTCTCAAACCCTCAAAGTACACCCTGTAGCGAGTAAAACTCTAACACAGGAAAGACCTGTATGCTGCCTGAGAAAGCCTCGTTGGAGCTCCAACAAGCCGTGTAGGACAGAGAGTGAATACACATACTATACAGAGATGCTGTGAGAAACCAATGTGAGTTTGGAACATTGAACAATGTAAATCTATTCGAGTCAACCTCAACAGTGGAATTATGATCAGTAGAAATGGCCATGACACCTTTAAAGTCAGTATCATCAGTGAGATTATCTACATGGACTGCTGAAAACTTTTAAAGATATTCGATGCCCGTGTAACTTGTGAACTTTTCTGCTGTAACAAATGTAAATGTCCCCTCTGTGGGACGAATAAAGGTATTCTGATTTAGATTCTGGTTCTGATGGTGTCTCACCTGGTCGTACTCGGTGCGGCCCCCCTGTGGTGACATGGCCAGAGGGTGGGGGCTCAGCAGACCCCGGTGCCCCCCGTACGCCTCGCCGAACGCAGGCTCCATCCCATTCATGCCCGGCTGCAGGGAAGATACACGGAGAGTTGGGGAAAAAAAGGTTTATGCATGTTTTTTACATTTAAGACTTAAAAGGAAAAGCTTTTTTTGGTGTTTTCTTTTTACTGCTTTTCTCGATGTCTTTAATATCCATGTTCCCGTTTTGCATTACCTTATTTGTTTGTTTTACTAATAATGGCATAAAACATGACAGGCTCCATCCCATTCATGCCCGGCTGAATGGGCATTTAGAGGTGCGACTGAAAAGACTAATGATGTTTGTGTTTCATTCCATTCAGGCTCGGCTGCAGGGAGGAGAAGGGAGAGTTGTTTTGTTTTATGTTTTAGTTTTTCTTAACTATGTGTTAGTATTACTTATTGTTGTTATAACCCTTTTTGTATATACATTTATGACATTTAGAGGTACGACTTAGATGAAAGACCATTTATTTGGTGTGTTTTTTACTGCTTTTTTCTATGTATTTAATATCCATGTGTTCGTGTTGCATCTCCTTATTTCTTTATTTTACCCATAATGCCATAAAACATTATTTTTCTTAGTTGTATTAACCATTATTCCCCGCGACACACATACTACCAACATGAATACAGTTTTGTTTTACATTTAGTTGTTATTTTATAGTTGTTTTTAGTTAGTTGTTCTAATAGTTTGCCATTATATTAATACGGGAGGTGTGTGGCGCAGAGGAGTAGTGCGTTGGTGTTCGGATCAGGGGAGCACAGGTTCAAACCCCACTGCAGTCAGCATGTCGTTGTGTCCCTGAGACAGTTCACCGCAAATTGCTCCTGTGGGGATTGTCCACAGTATGTAAGTCGCTTTGGATAAAAGCGTCTAACAAGTGACATGTAATGTAATGTACATTCATTTTCTGTTTTCTATAACTTTGTGGATTTTAACCTTTTTTTTAGAGTATGTGGGAATTCTCCCTGTTCCTGCACTGTATTCATTATCTGTTATGTGTTTCTAAATTGTGCAACAAGAATAGAAAAGGCCCAGAGGAGAGTCATTTATGCCCCTGTCACACCAACGCGTTTTCAGCTCCGGCTCGGAGCTGGAGCCTGAAAAGTACCGGTTTTTCCTGTTCACACCGCAGAGGCGCCGCCTTTTAGCTCCGGAATCCGGTTCACTTCCAGCTCCAAAAAATTGTCGGTCTAGAGGCAAGAGCTTCGGAGCTAAGAGGCGGCGTCGCTTACGTCTCTCTTACGTCGAGGCGGGGGCAGGGGCATGGGCGGGATCAGCCTCCTGAACAACAACAAAATGCCTGCGTGTGATGTTTGTAAAGTTCCAAGTAAAGTCGTCCCTTGTAAAGTCGTCCGATGCCTTCCATGTCGTTTCGTAAGAGGATAACCAAAGCGAACAGCGCTTCAATACAATCGGCCATTGTTGTTGTTGTCGATGTGAGGGATTTCCGCACGGTTTGGATTTTATGAAGCAGGCACGTAAACGGTGACGTCATGACGCAGCAGCGGCAGCACTGTGCGGTGTGAACAGAGCGGGAGCAGAAAAGGGAAACCGGAGCTGAACCAGAAAAGCTCCCGCTCGGAGCTAGAAAGGGAAAAGCGCTGGTGTGAAAGCCGCATCAGAGGTTACGGGTGAGTTTTCAGTCGTGTTCACACTTTACCTGAGGCATGCCCGAGGCAGGCGGGTTTCAGGTCGCGGTTGCAACGTCGGTGCAAGTGAATTCTGCTGCAGAGAGAAAAAAAACACAATTAGGCGGCAAGAAAATAAAGTAGGTTGCAACTCTGTTAACTATAAGGGCAACATGTAGCTAATTCACACAAATATAATCTAAAATATTTAGAACATTTACATTATCAAACAGCTCTGTGAGTTACTGTCCTTTTTCTGTTTTTATGACAAACTCAATTCTTCTGCATGTCCTAGAAAGACAAGGTAAACTTAAAGGTCACCTATCATGATATTTGTAGGCAATAGCATAGGTCTCAGATATATACAAATATATAAAAAACATGTCTATGAAGTGTTTTGCTCCAAATACCAAACAGATCATTCTAGCCATGCCTCATATCCCTCTATTTCACTTCCTGTTCAAAAGTGCTGATTTGGGTATAAAGCTTTAAAGAGGAGGGGTCTGAGCTCATGCGGGACCCGGCAGCTACTGTCTAAACTAAATGCTGCCGTGATGAAACGCCATATCATGGATTATCAAGGATTCTCTCTGAAACAGTTTGGAGCTCAAAGGCTTTCTCTCTTGCCGGTTATACCACAAGGTGAGTTCCTTTTTACTTCCTGCTTCTTCACACACATGCTCTCCAGTACAGGTTAGCTCTGAGTGTTAGCGATGCTAATGTAAACACCGACCATACTACGTCCAAAGCAGTCGGGCATTGTTTCTGATAGCAACTTTCTGATAGGGCCGTGGGTCCACATTTCCGACATCAAAAAGTGCATTTTGCATGATAGGTCCCCTTTAAGTATGTGCATTTAAAAAAAAGAAAAAGAGGAATAGTTTCGGCGAAAACTAAAAGGTACCATGGGATCAGATTAGAATTTTACAAAGGGGGGTTCGTTTGGCATGAAACACTTGAAATAACTAAAGGAGAAGTTAAACAAGAAAGCACAAAGAAAGTGAGTTCATAGAAAACATTTCAGATGTGTGGATCTCACACTGTCACTTTAATTCATCTACCTTTGCTTTTAAATGAGTGTTTTTAAATGCCATTTTATAATATGTCACTTAATGCTCTTAATGTCTTTCATTTTTATAAAGCACTTTGAATTGCCTTGTGTTGAAATGTGCTGTATAACTAAATGTGCCTTTCAATGAAAATAGCAATAAAAATATATATAAGGAAAACCCACTTAACACAAATGAGTGTTCTGGTGCTAATTTGAGATGTGTTAAATACCATGTTATTGCTGTCTTTTGATTATGTACGGTATTTCCAGCTCTAAAATTGTTACATATTTAGCAACTCAGTTTAAAAGCAAGAGATATAAGAGATATGAATGAGGAGAGGGAAACAGGAAGAGGAGAGGAAGAGGAGGAGGAGAGGATGTGATTTACCCGAAGGTTGAGAGTTGAGAGGGTGGAGATCCTCTCACATGTCTATCCCTGAAGCGCTCAGCCTCCAGCCTGAGGGGAGGAATCATATCTGGGTTACACAGAGGCCATAAAGCAGATTACACAGCGATGAAACAGTGACAGCGTTAAAGCACAGAGATGTATCCGTGTACAGTCCTGAGTTGACATGTTGTTTATTTCATCGTGTTTTTTAAAATGGGTTCTGTTTGATGTGAAACCACTATATAAATAAAGTAGGGATGCTCCGATCGCCGGAATCAGCATCGGACGATACCGATCGCCGATCCGATCGAGTAGGCGGGGCCTATGGGGATCTTCCATTTAAAGTGATGTTTAAAACTCAGTTAATGCTCATTCACTGGCGCTTCCACAAACAACAACCAACATCATTATTACATTCAAATGAAGTACATTATTCAAGTTTACATTAACTTGGGAGAATAACACGGGAGAAATTAGCGGAAGCTGTTATGGTTTAGGTGTTTTTGCTTTCTCCTCCTCCCCTCTGTCTTCTCTCTCTCTCCTGTGCAGTGTGGTGATCGTTAGAAGGCTCAGCTGGTTCACAATGAGGAGCACCTGTACTCATCTAATCAACTCCTCCATAAAACCCTGGTCATGTTCACACTCCAGTGCCAGATAATTCCGTCTCACTCGGTAGAGCTGAACGTCGTAGTATCCTAGCTTAGTGTGATTTTCTCTTGCTGTTTTTGTTGAAGAGTAACCTTGTTTTTTCCTCTGTCTTTCCAGTGTCTGCTCGAGCCAGCCTGAGTCCTGCCGCCACCACCGGCGTGAACTAGATCCACCTTCATTTTGTGGATTGTTTTTTAGTTGCTCCTTTTTTCCTTTATTAAACTTTGTTAAAAGACTGAATCCATCTGGTCTCTGCCAATGTAGGTCCTGAACTTTTGACCCAGCCCTAACAGGAAGCGCTCTCTTTTCCTCTCTCCCTCTCTCTCTCTCTCTCTCCCCCTCCCTCCCCCTCTCTCTTCCCGTCCCTCCCCCTCTCTCTCTCCTGACAGCCTGTCAGTATCGTCTCGTGCAGCTCACTGATCCAGTAATAGGCGCATTCACACCGCAGTACTTTTCCCACAAAGGTTCATGAGAACTTAGTTCATGAGAACTCTTTTGTCACGTTCACACCAAAAAGAGCCGGTACTAAAATTAGTTAATGAGAACCTTTTTACCCCCTCGAAAGTCCCTGCTAGAGAGCAGAGAGCTGCTAGAGAGCAGGGACTTTCGAGCGGCTCTCTTGTGAGAAAAGAGCTATATTTCTGATTGGCTGGGCGGATTGCAAACCACGCCCCGCAAAACTCCCAAAAAGTTTTGTGAAGCCGCCATTTTATTATCCTCGCATTAGCATTATTAGCATTAGCATTAGCCCAGCGCAGAAACGCGGAGAGACTAACTTATGGCAACACAAAATAAAACATGGGAGCGGTGGAGATGAGGAGGTGTCGGCGTTCTGGCGATTTACTCGGAAGGCTTCAGTAGAAGCTGCTGGGAGTCCCAGCAGCTTCTACTGAAGCCAGTCCCCAACTCCGGGGACTTCCGGCCGGGGACTTTGGGCGGCAGTATACGCCGTGAAGTGGTTTGCGGCCTGCCAGTAAACCCAAAGCAAAAGAAGAAGAAGTGACGTCAGCGGCTTCATTCGCGTAATCTTACTTTAGGGAACTTATTCCGGTGTGAACGCGACCTGTAGGCCTACTTAGTTCATGAGAACTAAAGAGTTCTCATGAACCTTTGTGGGAAAAGTACTGCGGTGTGAACTCGCCTTTAGTGTGTGTTGCTCCGCTCACCGGTCCGTCACAGCGGGCGGAGCTGCAGGATTTCTGCTTCACACACGTTGCATACCGCTATTTTATTGTCTTTTTCGCACACCTTAAAACACTGCCAGACTGGTGAAGCCATTTTGAAGAGCTTGTTTTGTGTATCAGTCCTGTTCTTACAAGATACCTCCCTATTTAGTCTATTAGCATTGATTTCATTATGTTTGATCGGTACAATAAGAAAAGACGATACAAGATGTTTAAATGCAGGTTTTAAATACGTCTCTTTGTTTAAATTTGCCTTCAATTATACAGTGTTTTAACTTTCCTCAGAAAACCTTTTACACATGTAATTTTGTTGTGTTCCTTTTTATTCTACATTTAAAAAGCTAAACATGAAAGCTGTTGGAGGAACGGAAAGCCACAAAATGATACAGCATTAAAATAAAGTATACACAGCGTTAAAGCACAGAGTTGTATATGTGCTGAGTCGACATGTTGTTTATTTCTTTGTTTTTTACTTCATTTGATTCTGTGTGTTTTCTAAATGGGTCTGTTTTGATGTGAAACCACTTGACCTCACATTCACTATATACAGTATTGATTGTCCTTCCTCCTTATCTTCCAACCATTTGGACGCAGACTTGCATTTCCCATAACGATGTTGTTTAACAACCGGCGTAAACGGAGCTTCTCGCTATCAAGCAGTGAGCGTGCGATGTCCTGTTCAGATGACCTCAAATCCAACGGGATGCCATCAATAAACTACACAGAATCACACTACACACCTACGCAATGATTACATTCAGGCAGACTGTGGAATACAACCTCTTTGGACCATTTATATACTTATTGAAAACAAGCTACAAAATGTAATACCTTGGAAAATGCCCTTTAATACTTTTTAATAGCTTTCATTTATCAACTTTTAATACTTTTTAAGACCCCGTGGACCCCCTGAACATAAAAGCTGTTGGAGGAAGGGAAAGCCACAATGCGACATTATGCAAATTATACCTCAATAAAATAAAGTAAACACAGCGTTAAAGCATGGGGTCTGGAGTGTGAGATGTTTTTTATAACATACAGCACAATTGTGTCCATATACATTTCATTTGGTTTGCCAGTACTGATACAATAACACACCATTTTTAAAGAGGCCCGATTGTGCTTTTTCCCTTTCCTGTAGTGTGCTCTATAGGTTTTAGTGCATGTAAATGGTATTCAAAGGCTAAAATCCCTGTGTTCCCCCCAGGGAGGGAGTTTTCGGTGCAGATCAGGCTAAAGCTTGAGAGGTTAATTGCTGCTATAAGTTATCATTGATTTCAGTATGTTGGATCAACAAAATAAGAGATGCCAGAAGAAGCGAAAATGCAGGATATAAATGTGTCTTCCTAACGACAACACGCTATGGCCCAATTGCCAACCTTGAGACCTCAGAAATCGGGAGCATTTCAAAACCACCGCGGGGGTGGGGGGGGAGTGCTAGTGGATCGCCGGAGCTGTATTAGATTTCCATTAACATGCTTATTGTAGTTGTAAGTGCACTGTCTTGATGGAGCATATGTGTGGGCTGGAAGAGGAGTGAGCAGAGGGTCGAGTTGTCGATTCTTGTTCTGTTTTCTGTGACTCTCTTTCTCACCCTCTCAGACTTTGAGTTGCGCGCGCTGCTAAAGAGACGCGCTACCATGGAAACCAAACAATGGTGTAGCTGTATTAAAGTCCGAGTGGAAACAGTCCTGAGTAAATCTGATTTTGTCAGAAATCGGGAGAAATGCGGGAGAAATATGACCCCGGGAGGAAACCGGGAGAGGGCAATGAAATCGGGAGTCTCCCGCGAAAATCGGGAGGGTTGGCAAGTATGCCCACTACCCACTACCCCTCCATTCGCGCGGAGGGTCCGCCATATTGAGGGCTGTTCCAAAGCAACGAGTGTGGCGCGGTGTGGAGGGGGAGTGGGCTATCAAGCCCTCAAACAGCGAGTCTGCAGCGATGCTGACTTGAGACCATAGCTTGAGACCGGTCTCTACCTGACCGGAGTCACGCTGTGTGTGTCCGTCAGGAAACAAGCTGTTAACAAGTAGTTCCAGCAAACATCCACTGATAAACTGCGATGTTAACAACCTCATGATGACCTCATATGTTTTTAACTTAGGATCAAACCTGTGTTTAGTCGAGAAAAAGGTAAATGTGTGCATTTTATTATAAAGTTGTGTATATTTACAGACCGTTGCAAAAACTAAGAAGCTTATCAGGTTTAAAACTAAAAGAGCTTTACAAAAAAGTAACACAATTAAAGATGTTTTATTTTTTTTGTGATTTTGATATACTTTATTAATCCCTCGTGGGGAAATTGTTTCTCTGCATTTGACCCATCCTAGTGTTAGGAGCAGTGTTCTGCCATTTTCAACGGCGCCCGGGGAGCAGTGTGGGGAATGGTGCCTTGCTCAGGGACACCTCGGTAGCACTTGGTCTTGCCGGGACTTGAACTGGTGACCGTCCAGTTGCCAAGCCAAGTCCCTATCGACTTCGCCACCACCGCCCCACCGTTTGGAGTTTTATTTTAGTTATTAATTGTATTTTTTGTCAAAGAGATGCTGATTTGAAACCGTTGTTATACAGTTACGGCATTTCCTGTTCCTGTCGGAGAGAGAGGAGGCCGTCCCAAAGCTTGCCGCTGTGTTTACTCCCTCCATCTGACAGGAGGAGCCTCATGTGTCACTCCACGGAGTTCACTGCGTCACGGAGGGGGAGTGTGTAGGGCGTGGTTTGGGATTGGGCCTATTTTTAACCTTTTAACAGAAAGCTTTTCTCAGAAGTTATCTATGAAATGTTGTCTTTTCTTTTCTTTTTTTAAACTGTTGTGTTTTTTTTCTGTGTTTATGAAGTTAAACATAAAAGATGGGAAGCAGAAAATCATATTTGGGTTCAACAGACGCCATAAAGCAAGTTATACAGTAATAAAAGTACACTTAGGGTTAAATCATAAGGATGTGAGGATGCATCTGTGTACAGTCTGAAGAATATGATTAGTTTTTCTGATAAGATAAGGAAGAATTTAGTCCGTTGACATTTCAGTTTGTTTCTTACAATAACCCTCTATTTTAAACCTTTCAAAAAAGAAATATTTGACAGAAGTCCTCTATGATATGTTGTATTGTAGTCTGTCTTTATGAAGTTAAACATTAAAGATATTAAAGCTCTTTTTACTGTCTTTTCAGCCAAGGTGGATATTGTTGCTTATTTTCCGGCTACTTTTTCTAATAATACCTCCATTTATTCAAC